GTGTGTGTGTGTGTGTGTGTGTGTGTATACGTCGAACACACGTGTAGATAGAGAGAACGAGAGTACGCAAGATAAATGCAAGATAAATCGCCATGACGAGATATCACCTTGACCTTTATGAGGTGGACTTGGCTAGCGGCGGAGGTAGAATAGGATTGATATATAGAACGCCTCGAACTAGCGACAACGGAAAAGACACAATCTTTGAAATTCCTCTCTCGTGCAGAAGTGAGAGTGAACCAAACACTCGACTTTCAACGCGCGAATCCTGCGGATTGCAGGGGTTGAAAATGGATAGGAACAGGAAGAAGAGCAGAATCACGACCGATGGCGGGAGCAAAGCTGCGAGTGTGAAGTAGAAGAAGAAAGGGGAGGGGAAGGGAAAAAAGTGGAAAGCCGAGAGGAGAGAGAGAGAGAGAGAGAGAGAGAGTCCAGTCTAGGGCCAGAGTCGCGTAATTGAATATATTTAAGCGCGGGAGGGACGTTTGTGCGGATTCTCGGCTTACAGGGACCCCCATACCGAGGCAACGTCTGCGAGTAAACTGGATTAATCGTCTATGAAGGGAGACTGTAACCCCCGCCGACATTCGTTTGCAATCAGATCCCTGTAGGGAATTCGCAACAACGCGCAAGGCCTACGAGTCGCGCTCGCCTGGGCCTTGTTTTCGTTTCGTCGCTGTTGTTTTATCGATCATCGAGCCGCGAAGGGATAAAAGTGCTATGATGATACTTTGTGCAGATAATTCATGTCATTTGGACTTGTTTGGAGTTGAGATCCGGCCTCAAAACGAACGTGCTGTCTCACTTTGAAATCACACGAGTATAAATAGAAATCTATGCATGGAAACGAGAAGGTTTCGTGGTGAAACAGGCTTGTTCGCTATTCAACCGAACACCTGACGCGACTTCTAATGACCGTTCCACCTTTTGATCGATGACACGAGTCTCTCGGCCTAGTCAGGAGCACGTCCGTCTCTCCTTTCCTCGCCGCTTCCACTAAATTCGCCCATAAAGATTCGCACGGACGTGGTGTTTCGCAAGTGACCGTGGCCAATGCCGATTTCAACGACAGGATCGCACGGTGTCAGGCTGATCTTGCGGCGATCAGCTACTCTAACTCTAGCTGTAAGCCTGCTTCCTGGCAATCGATTCTTTCGAGCGGTGGCAGTCAGTTTTAATATTCGACGTTGACACTTCATTCAACGGGAAGAAAATACAACGAAAAATTCGTGGAAAGCGTGAATTGCGTTTCTTACCACTGGGCGCGTAGGAAGCGGCTAAACCGAAAACCACCGGTCGATGGTCGATTTTATTTGTACGATGCTGCCCCTGGGACGTACGAAGAGGGTGGTATAACGATAGAGAAATTGTTTGCCTACCAGTTGCGTGCTCCCAAAAGGCTCGTTTTGCAAGTCGTAAACGAATTAGGGCTTTTCAACGCGGCCATTCATCCCAGCCCAGGGAAGAGATCACCCTTGGCCATTGATTTACATCGCGGTTAACGGGGTGGCTGCCGATACAAATTGCCCGTACCGGTGTACCCATACCGGTCAATTGCTTTTAACCTTCGGCCAAATCGTAATTCCAACCGTATCCGCTGATTTTTCGAAGCGATTGATTCGCTGTTGGATTTTTATCAAAGGCAGCGAGGTCATCGAAAGTTTCGTCTTTGTCGGACAATTCGAAGATATGTTTAAATTGAGCGCTGGAAAGTTCACCTAAGATTTATAAGATATATGGTTCGTAAGATAACACCTGAGATCGGCAGAAGCAAGACAGAGGTGCAAAGACCGCGAGAAGAGGAAGAGGAAGAGGAAGAGGAAGAGGAGAGGAGAAGAGAGGAGAGGGGGAAGTGGCGAAGAAGGGGTTGCAGGAAAGGGCGGTTGGAAGTCTCGAGGCGAAACTTGCAAAGGTACATCGCGACTCAAGAGGCCGGAAGTAATCGCGTGAGTTTCCGCGCAGCGCAAATCTACGTTATCATCGGCCGATTTCACGGCATTTAGTGGCTGCCGAAGATTTCGCTGGCGTCGGCCCGTATTAACAAGAAAGATACGAGAGATCGTTGCTTTCGAGTGTACATTGTGCTCGGATTACGCAGAGAGTATATCGCACCAGCGAGAGACATCTAATCCTAGATACCCGTGTGTTTACCCACTCGTTCGTCGACACTTTTCGAACGATCTTTCACACTCTGATTTCTCAAAGATCATACTAAAACTGAGAACGACAAATATCGAAGTGTCTGAATCGTCGACAAGGCCAATCGACTCGCGTCAATCTGAATCGATATATTAGAGAACTAAAAAAAAAAAAAAAAAAGCGGAGGAGAAGAGAAGAAAGAGCTGGATCAGTGAAACCGATTGAAGACGCGTTTCACTGGGAAAGGAAGCGGAAACACGGCGGAAGGAGAAGGGCGTAGAAGGAGAGCAAACGAAAAATGAAAGGTTTCAAATGAATCGCGTAATAACCTCTGTAGCCTGTTGGTTTCTTTTCTCCTTCTCCCGACGTTCATTCTCTCCCCTTCGTTTGCTCCCTATGGAAGAGCTGCTTATGTATTCCGGTGCACGGCTGGTTGCACCACTCCTAATGGAGTTTCCAATATTTTCCTTTCCGTCGACTCGCCTCTGTTCCTCGTTCTCTCCCTTGCTCGCTCTCCTCTCGTTCGCTCCTCTCGCCGATCCGATCCCTCCTCGCCGCACGTCTCTTCTCAACGCGTTGATCGATTGCCAAACTCCTTCCGCTTAAACGTGCTCCTCTCTTCTGTCTCTTTGGCTCCCTTTCAGCATCTCCTCTTTCTCTTTCTCTCTTCTCGCGGCAAGCTGGTGTGCTAATTGTCGGTTAGCTCGTTAGGCTTCGGCCGCGACACTTCCGCGCTTGTTGTAATTGCTCCTCTCCTTATTTGCAGTTCCTTCTCCGCGAGTAGCGATTTCTCTCGGCAGCGGGAGGAAAGCCTTTAACTTCAATTCGTAGGAAAGAACAAGAAAAGAAAAAGTGGCTTCTACCCTCTTCGCCAGTTCTTCCAACGACTTTTTAAACAGCCGTCCCTCCCTGGAATTCGAATTCGAACGATTCTTACAAAAGTGTTACACGAATGTTCAACTTTTGTCTTCAATACACGGTCAAATTACACACATGTTTATAAAGAATTGTTTTCGAATAAAGTCTCTTCGCGATTTATCGTGAGCAAACGTTGTTTCAAGTTAGGTATTTCTAGTCTTTTTACACGCTTACTCCGTAGCCAGAGTAGCTGGCGAGAATATTTGCTCGGTTAACACGTTTTGTGCCGTATGTACCACCGGTGGTACACG